ACAGGGAGGATTAAGAGAAGGGTGTGCTGCTTCTCAGGGCTGGCCGGGACCTTCAGCGTGATTGCATCAGTGCAGCAGTTCAGCTATGGTGAGATCCCTCAGCTGTGTGTACATCTGCGGGTAGTGAGGACACAAGCAGTGGGTCTATAGAATGTTGCATTTGATGCTGAGGAGGTGGTGGCTGTGTTATACACGGTTTTGTCACCGCAGGCTACCTCCAGTCTCATTCCCTGGAGCAAAGAGCCGCTGATGCTCACCTGGCCTCACCCTGCTTTGAACTGAAACGCAGAGGTGCACACACCCACATGAATGTGGCCATGCTGTCTCCAGGCTAGCCCACATAGGTGTACTCTGGGTGTTTCAGAAAGCTTTAGCCACAGCCTAAATCCTTCAGATTCCCTCTGTTATTAAAGCAGCTAATAATTCCTCATCTCTGAAGTGGTGGGCAAGCAGTTGATTATACAGCACTTGGAGACTTCAGAAGTGCTGCGGAGTATGTGCTAAATATAATTAGTATTTTACAGCTAAATGGTTTTTTTTTATTATTTATTTATTAATGATGTTAATCAATATTAACCTGCTGTCCACTAGGGCATTATTATAACATTAGAGGGCACAACCAATTGCCTTCATCAGTACTTTAAGACGTGATTATGCTGAAGCTAAGAAAATTAGGTAGTGCAGTAAACAGTCTCTGTGTTTGTTTCTCCCAAAACAAAGAGGTATCAATGAGCCTGTTCATTATTTTGGGTTCTAATCTGCTACTGATACTTAAGAAAAATTATGTATTGGAATTTCAGCCCCATTAACTTACGTATCTATGCACACAAGCTTGTGTGTGTTTGTATGATGATAACATTTGTAATACTGTCATATAATATTACATATTTAAAATAAACAAACAAACAAACACTGTCTCAAAGGAATTATTAACTTCAGAGTACAGCACATCTTTTTATTTTTCAGTCCTGTTTTTCCCCTGGTAATTATGTTGAATAATATATGATTTTTCATTACAAACTATCCAGTAGGGATCATAGGATACACCACATGTCTAAGTTAATGTGGCTGTTGGAACCTTAACTATTACATTTCCTTTTGCATTTTACTTCTTACTTTTAATTGAGCAACATTTAAGGTTACATTACAATTGATTTGTGTGAGTCTTTATCTTGACCTCCTAAGTATTCAGGCTTAATGAGTCAATTTTTTTTTTTTATTGATATATAAAGTGTCCATGGATAAGTCAACTGAACATTGTCCTAGTGATTAAAAGCCATAGAGCTTTTTTTGTCCTAGTGATTAAAAGCCATAGCTTCATAAGTACAAACTTCTGTGTATCTGGATTCATGCAGTCCAATATTGATTAATCTTTCAGCTGTACTCCATTATACGTATATGCAAAGTTTGATATATCTAAAGAGAGAGAAAGGTGTTTGTATATGGTAACATCTATATACTCATGTGAATGAAATCATGTATGTAACCAAATTCAAGAGTCAGAATACTGATTAACAGGCAGACTTTGCATCTGGTTATTGATAATCCAGTTAAACCAGTTAGCAGTAAGTTATGTACTGGTTTTAGAAGCTTAGAGGAGACTTATTTAAACAGTGAAGTTACATGATTACAAATTATGATCAAAATTGGTTAGATCAAAACTTGATCTTATGTTTACTGTCTGCTGTTTCTTTCTTTTCTATCCTGTGTGGGTCAGTCATATAGGAAAAAGAGCTAAAAACTGTAGCGGAAAAAGCCTCAAACGCACTATTACTACTTTTATGCTTTCAAGTGCTTGAATTTCACAACTAAACTCTGTGTCTTTAAGCAGAAGTTATTATAATGCTCTTTCTAAGATTCAAAAGATGAAGAAGCACAATTAAAAAACCTTCTGCTTTACGCAGTGACAACACTTCTCCTCCTGATTCATTATCACAAGGTTTGGGCTCTGCTTTTCCAGCATTGCAACACGGAGCAATTTTAGCAGCGGCTGGAGCCTGCTGAGGTTCCAGGGGAGATCAGAGGCCACAGGGCTGGGCTCTGCGCCCGGCTGGGCTCAGCTTCCTCACCCTCTCTTCCACTGCTGCCCCAGCACCTCCCAAGCTGTCTCCCAACAAGGAGACAGATTCCTCCCGATGGGAATCTAGTCAACGTGAAATCCTCATGATTATGTTTTAAACGAGACTGGAAATGTTTGCAGCAGGGCTGTGTTTTACACCCATGGATAGTCCTCAGCAGGAGGGAAACCTCTCAGGGTCAAGTCTGATTGCTTGATGGGACTATGCCAACTCTAGCTCTCAAGAATTTAGAAATTCACATCTGTCCTGGTTTTGCTGGGATAGAATCACAGAACCAATCTTCTGTTCAGAAAAGCTACATTTCTAAAGTAAGTCACATTTTTAAGAAGACTGCAGCACCTGATTCGGTGAGAACAAATTTGGTGAGACACTTTGTTTTAGTTTGTAGCCAGCTGTGGTATGCAGGTATCCATAGTGATCAAGGACTTTTCAGCTTGTTTTTTGCTACCAACCCAGATGTCCAAGAACCTGGGGGGCACGTGGCCAGGGCGATTGACACCTAAATTGGCAAATGAATATTCCATACCATGTAAACTCGTGCTCACTATAAATTGGAAAGTTTGTTGGGGACAGCTTCTCTTTCTCAATGGTTGCCATCCCTAGAGGGTCTTGCCCATCATTCTGCTCCCAAGGCCTACTCTCTTCTGGGATTGAGGTTTCAGGATTTTCCTGCTCTGACATTAATGGCCGAGAGCAAGCTGGATATTTTTCAAGGAGTGGTGAGCAATCACACTGTACATCACTTGTCTGTATACATTATTATTATCATTATTATTTTCAATTTTATTTTATTTCAATTATTAAATAGCTCTTATCTCAACCCATTGGTCTTCCTTCCTTCTCCCAATTCCTCTCCTTGAGTGGGGAGGGGTCATTGAGTAATAGAACCACTGGCTATTGTTCAGCCCGAGATACTGGCTAAACGTGGAGAACATCTGTGACTTGCCTTGGGTGATAGAGATACTTAGTTTTATTGTGGTCTGGTGATGTCATCCAAAAGTTTACAGTGTTTTTTTTCCTGAAACTGTATTTGCAGTGTGCAGCTGTATGTTGATTCAATGACTGCCTAGGTAGTTTCTGAATCCCAGGCCAGGTTGTGAAACTAAAGTAGAATATATGTGTATGTTGACCATATGTCAGCATATATGTATATTTTGTAACAAATGTCTAGGCACAGGTGGGATTCGAAGAGAACAATTCTAACCAAGAATCTGCTCAGATATTTGAAGCAACTAAGTTAACAGGACCTCTTTACAGCAGGTCCTAGACTTTGCACATACAACATAAAAAATAGTTAGTTTAAACTCCACTGAGTTTATTTAAAATATGGAAATTTTGTCATAATTACGGGGAGACAAATCTTGATCGACTGTTCCGGCTCAGCCAATGAAGAGTAACAAAACAGTCTTCAGGGAGAGGTTTAGAATAAAACTCCCAGGAAATTTTATTTTGGAAACACTGACACATGTGGTTCCTAGAACACTATATGCTCTCTGGAACTGGGGTGCTCCTGACTGAAGACCGGTATTCTTCTCAGTTTTATCACAGTTGAAGAACAACCATTTCAATCTGCACTTAAGGGGTCTCTAACACCATAGGCACATTTCCATGTGCCTCTCTGTGGACCAGACATCCCAGAGTTATCAAAACTGGACCTGGCATCCCTCATGAAGTTTGGTCTGCACTGACAGGGAAATTTCAGGAATAGGACATCTGGGAATCTTTCCCACGTCCCCAAAGACACAGCATGTTGAACAGACTATTCTGGGTTATTTTGCCTGGCCTGATCCTGCCCTGGGCCACCCTGCATGCCCAACCATCTGGAAGGCAAGGCTCCTCTGCTGTTCTGTATGGGAGTCTTGCCAGCTTTGGAGATCTTACCTTCTCTAATGCAATGCTGAGTCCCATTTCAGACATTGGAGATCTATCAACTTCAGTGGCACTGCCCTCAGTAACACCATGGATGGATTTGGCCAAGTACCTGAGAGTTTGGTGCTCATTACATGACGATTTTGATAACATTACAGCTATATATTACTTGAAAGGAGGGGTTGTTACATGTGATAGTGCCCTCAGAGTACTCTAGTAAACTACAAAATCATTACTTGAGGGTTCAGGTTCCCTCGTCGTCAATGCGTCTGTATCATTTCACACATGAAATAACACATTAAGATGTTATTAGTGGATATGACAATCTATCCTACTTTCCTCCAGGGACTAGATAACAGCTTATGGATATATTAATACTTTTGATTTTGGCATATATTATAACATGATGGATGTGTGGCATACAACAACATTTTTTGCTTGCTGAGATGTTGCGAATACAAAGAGAAATAAATCCACATAGGATGCATCCATTTTGAGAGCTCATCTGCAGCCTGGTCATGTTCTTTGTTCTCCAGACAATGGTGGGTTTGGGTATTAAGGGTGCATGATACTACTGGGCTTTTTGGGTTTTGGTTGGTTGGTTGGTTTTTAATTGCGGATATGCTGTAACTTCTGGCAGGTAAAGGGACAGATGGGAACGCACTAATTCTGAGACTCCCATCAGGCGACAATATATCTTGTAGACAGGCCATCTAACATTATAGCCATGACGGCATGCAAATTACTTGACAGATGCATTATTTGGGAATGGTGCTGCATCCCAATGCTCCTCCCATTGCCAAAAGTTAATATGCTATTTTTAAAGAACAAAATTAGGTCAAAGTTCTGCTGGTTTTTTGTCATGCAGAGATTTCACAAACTTTTTTTTCTCCATTCTACTCCCTGCTACTTTTGTTGTCACTTTGGTCTTCGTGTTATACAAGCTGGCATGTTGAATTTCTCCATTCACTGAAATACTGTGTAACAGGAAGCAAGTAAGGAAACAGCAACCGAAATTCTTCATATTAACCTATCATCTTATCTGCCTTCCAGGCTGATTTTGATGATAAGCCTGACTCCTTGTTCTTCAGTGATGGGCAGCGAAGAATTGACTTTGTTTTGGTGTATGAAGATGAAAGCAAAAAAATGACTCACAAGAGGAGTGATCGTAAAAAGCAAAAGGTAAGTTATTATCAGTTTATCAGTGTAAACCTGAATCGTTTGTTGGGCATTAGAGCAGTAGGCAGAAAGAACAGTGCCTTCACCCAGAATAGCAATTGCATTGCCCTGTCCTGGTGGTACTCCTGGGAGCTGGGAGACTGATGCTCATCAAACTGAGCAGGGAACAGGGGTAAGCTCAAGCCAGTAGATTGCTGTGGAAATGGGCAGAGCACTGCACTTCGTGTCTGTCAGTGTGTGCTAGGCGACCTCAGAGCATTCTCCTGGGAGGGAACACTTCAGGAGATGTGAGCTGAAAAGCGTTGGTGTCAGGATCCCGGTTAGGATGAGACACAAGCTCTTCAGACTAAGGCGATTTTCTGTTTCTACAGGGATTGAATTAGGCCCATAGTGGACTTTGGTGTTAGAATCAGGGTATTCAGAGAAACCCATAGAAGAAGTCAGCTGACCAGGTGCTCCAGATCACAGTTTTGAACATAGCTGCTGACATTCTGCCCAGTAAAGTACCTAAGTCATTTACAGGAAATAATTGTACATCACTTTGCCACCAGAATTTCTCCCTGCGCTGCTCCTTCCCTTGGCGCTTCAACACCTTGGCCCTCCCTAGGGACCTTGCAAAAAATTTCTGACTCAAGCCAGTGACTGCTTGATGTTCCTTAGCGACTGCAAACAATGACAATCATAGATTATTTTTTAACTATCAGTATTTATCTCAGTAGGTCTGTCAATGGACGTCATTCATGATGGTACAAAGAGCAACAAAAATAAGCTCAGCCATACCACTGAGCTATTTTAATTGTGAACTGCCTGAGAAATATCCATCCATGAGATTGTAGTCCCCTTAGTGTCGCTCACCAGCCTGGGCTGCGGCACCAGGGACACTGTTGCATCCTCCGCAGCCAGGAGGAAATGGCCTGCCTCTTGTAGGCAGGATAGGTACCTTGAGTTGAGTGGTTAATTAGTAGTTCATTATCTCAACTCAGTCCAGCTGGATAAGAATGATTGGTGCCATAATTCCCCCTTTTTGTTTTACCATTTTTTGTTTTCACAAAGGCTTTATGGGTGAGCAGAGACCCGGCCCATTCATCCAACTCCAGCACGCTTCCCTCCTGCAAATACCACATTGGGGCTTGCGGCTTTACCTTCTTCTCCAAAGGACTCTCGCTCGAGCTCCCGGCTCCGGCTCTGGCTCTTTTGGCTCGGGCTCCTTTGCAGCCAGGGGTCTCGGCTCAGCGAGGGAGTCAGGGCTTCCCAGGGTCTCATGGATGTATCACGTCAGGGTCACCAGTTGTCACTCACCAGCCTGGGCTGCAGCACCAGGGACGCTGTTGCATCTTCCGCAGCCAGGAGGAAATGGCCTGCCTCTTGTAGGCAGGATAGGTACCTTGAGTTGAGTAGTTAATTAGTAGTTCATTATCTCAACTCAGTCCAGCTGGATAAGAATGATTGGTGCCATACTTGGTATCTGCTCTCTCCCACTCACCCGCTTCTTTCTCTGATTTAGCAACATTCCATGTTCCAGCAGCAGCCTCTGGTAGAGGCAGACAGGGACAAAGATATCACTGAAAGCAGCTCATACACAAATAACGATTTGCAGTTAGGAAAGAGAAGAGTAGGAGTAAAAAGGCCTGTAGCTAAGTTAGTTGATGTTCATTACACAGTGTTGTCATTGGCATTAACAGGGCAGCCATAAGGAATGTCGTTAGTAGTGTTTGAGGGAGTTCTGCAGTGGGTGGATGTTGCATTACACATGATCACAGGATCAGCAATAAAAATTAATTGAAAGAGGTAATTAGAAATGAAAAGCTGCCCCTTTGGAAACAATTGTTTTTATCAATTAGCATTTTACATCTATGTTTGTAATATTTGGCCGTTGCCCAACTGTACTTAAAAATATAACGAGTGTCTTTTCCAAATAGTGATGGAAATTAAATGTGAGCAATGCAGTAGTATTTTTAGTGCAGCATTAATGTAAGAACATTAGCCAGAACGAAACCATGAGTTGTGAGTAATGTGCTAGGTGCTTGCAAAAAGAGTTTACGTTCAAAGGTCTTAGTCCTTCAAAGATCTGCAGCCACAGAATCTATGGCATGCTGAGAAAGAGGAAGCAGCCTACCTACACGCAACAAATGTGAGAACAAGGGTGTATTAGACTAACGATCAGATAAGATGAAGACTGAGTGGCTAGGGTGCAGCTCTGTGGAAGAGGTCCTCATGGTCCTGGTGGACAGCAAGCTGACCAACAGCCAGCTGTGTGTCCTGGCAGCAAAGGCAGCCAACAAAGGCTGTATGGACAGAAGTATGGCCAGGAGATTGAGGCACGTGACTGAGGTGCCATGGATGTATCAGAAGGAAGCTGAATACAGCAGTGATAGCAGTTTTCACTGCCATAATTTCCATGGACAGAAAGAGTCTTGCAAGGGTACTGTGGAAGGCACGGACAAAGATTTTGATATTAGGAGTGCATACGGTGCTGAAAGGGCGGTAAAAAGCACAGAAAGAGACAAGAATGAAGAAGTGGCCGTTGCGGAGGTCTTCCAAGGGTAAGAACAAAGGATACAAGTGCGATCACACTGAGCTGAAGAACTAATGAAAAAACCCAAAGCTGATTGATTGTGAAACAGACAAAACATTACACACAAGGTAAGGTATCAGAGGGCACTGAAAGGTGGAGGACAGAGAAGAGGGAGTGAAGAGAGGATTTTGTGCAGTGAGTCTGTCACATAAGCTGAAATGCGTCACCTGGTCATAACCAAACTCCTGTGATACAACTCAGAAGTACTGGCTCCCTCCCACTAATGCCTCACATACAGGTGTCATCGGTTTAAAAACGCATTTCCTTTATACATTGTTGGGGGAACAGTCTGTTGAAATGTGAATAGATGTAACCTTCTTAAGTTTTTAGGATGGGATAGGTGCAGGTCAGCTCCAAGCACGCAAACACTTCAGTCACCTCAAAGACGTAGGTGCATCGTCTTGCTTGTGGTCACTTGCTCTGCAAGTGAGGAAGCTGTGTGCACTGCAAATCTTCATTCCCTAAGCAAATGCTGCACAGACACTGGCAGCACTGATAACATTTTTCCTCTCATGCATCCTCCTGAGTGGGATGCAGGACACTGCCTTGGGACCTACCTCACTCATACTAGGAGTGACAGGAGAGAAACTGAGATGTAAAAAAGAAATAAATGTGAATAGAATATTTGAAAAGAAGAAACAAACCACATGTACCTTATGTCTGAGGTGGAAAGGAAGATGACATTTATGGTACAGTTTTGCATCCTTGGAATTCCAGAGAGAGAATTAATATTTTGGCCTACAACTGTTCCCAGAATGACGTGGAGATGATGCTGCCCAAGATACATACCAGTTTCATCAATACTGGCACGAAATGTAGTTGATAGCTTGTCTTTACTGACACTGTTTTTTATTTGGTTATAGCTTTTTTCTAGGGCAAATGACTTCTACCCTTGTGATGATATACAAGGTACCAAAATGAGGTGCATTGTCATTTACTGTCAGCTTTAAATAGTACATTCGTCACTGTCTGTCTCTGATCAATGATTAACTAAAAATGCCAAATTTTATAAGCAGTATCTTGTGTAATTCGAGGTTCTTTAAGCCTGAATAGGTTCCTTGCTCATGTTACTCTTTCTTTGACTCTCCTGACAGTTTTATAGAACTATTATCCAGAGGTTTATTGCTCATGGAATTTGAAAACTCTGAGTTATTAAAGAATAGGGGATCCAGTGAAGTCTGTTCTCGTAGAGTGAAACCCTCACCTCGCTGAGGTGAGCAGCAAGATCTCTTCTGGCCATGTGCAATGTTATAGGTCTGTGAAATGCAAGGATCAGGAGTGTGGTCGCTGGGACAAATCCTGTCAGACATGCACTGCACCCCACCTGACTACATGACAGGAAAATTGGGTCAGGATTTGAATTGCTAGTGGACATCTATAGATCTACACTTCTCAAGTAAAAGTTTTGGGTGCTGCACTGGGTGGTTTTGTATGACACTGAGAGTGGATGAGCCCCCAAACACTTACTGAATTTAGTAGGAAGGATCTGGAAATCAGACTTCAATCCAGGTAACCAATTGAATGGATTCAGAGAAATAGGGCACAGATCCATCTATTCGTTTGCAGCAAGAGAAGAGGTGGAACCTGGGACCATTATTATATTTGATTTGAATGGCTTTCTGTTCTTTTTCAAAAGAATTGCATGAGTCTAACTGGGATAATGGCCCAGCATTAATTTATATTAATTAGCAGCATCCTTGAATAAACATCTCAGAAGAGAGAAGGAAATAAATTAACTAAACACATGGGAGTGATTTGAATAGAAGGAGCAAAAATATGGGATTTTGAACTTGAAGATCTGCAGTAGTGCTGTGCTTTCCTTATTTTCATGTATTTCTGAAATCTGGTTTAAAGGAGGCAAAGTCAGACTACTGAAATGGCATCCTCATGGAAGTTTTTAATATAATTTACAGATTCAAAAGTTAGCAGATAAGATTCATACATGCAACTTGATTCAAACTCCAAAACTTTTTAAGTCGGTGTATGATTAATTTTGCAAGCGCTAGCAAAAGCTAGGATAGCAAGCACTGTACCTTGCAAGCAATTGAAATTTCTGCCCAATGCATGTTTTTTAAACCCACAATTTATGTAACCTATTTGTCAAGATAGGTTACCATCAGAATAGAAACTAAATATCACCAGTCTTTCCAGGAATGCTCCAAAATGCCAGTTTTGTCTGGTAGGGTCCTCAAGGAGCTCGTTATTGAAAGCTAAAGGGTCAGTGTGAGAAAGGCAAATTAAAAATAAATCAATGCAGAATGTTGCTCTAGTCCATCTGCTTCCCCCCAGTAGAAATAAACAGAAAGACTGTCAGTAATTTAAGCAGGGATGTGGGCAAAATCTTCATTTCCAGCCATTAAGTAATCTGTGCTTCACAGAAATATACTTTTTTTTTCCAATTAAATGAAAATTATAATTCACAGAGAAATTGCATACTTGTCACTTTTTTTAAGTTCGGTCTTACAGAGAGCTTCAGCAGTGCTAGAGAAGTTTGTGAGCAAACAATGAACAGTTCCTGTCTCTAAACTTGTTTAGTTTAGATAGCAGACAAACAAAAAGTTTGGCTAACTTAAAGTTTGGCTAACTTAAAAGACTAATTGTACTTCTTCCACTGTTTAGCACGCGTCACACCTCTGGCGACAGAACAGTACTTGGGTTTACAGAAAGAGGGGTGCCTGGGTGCCATTTCCTGCGGTGATTTGGGGCAGTAGAGGACGGCAGGCTCTACATGCCCATGGTGTGCTCAGCCGACCTGCCCAGGAAGCCTGATAAGAAGGATGAAAGGAACCTTTGAAACTCGGAGGAGGGCAACCACACCTGCCCTGGTTCCTGCTGGATGGATTGGTTTTGAAGCAGGAAATCACTGAAATAAAATCTCTGTTTCTGAGACAACCCCAAATCCAAATTTTACTTCTTTGCCTAATGGATAGAAGGAAAGATGCCAGAAGGATGAGAAGACAAATGGAAGGAGGGAGTTGCTCTGAAGTTACTGCATGCATTCATAGGATCAGAAATGGTTCTTTCCAAACAGGGTGACTAGAAGCCACTGTTGAGAGCAGGGCTAGACTGCAGTATTGCCAGTTCTGTGTGGTCACGAATCAGGTTTCAGAAAATCATGAGGCTGTCTTAAAATCAGAGGGCATCTCAGAAAACATGTATTTGGAGTTTTTTGGTTTTGTTTTTTTTTTTTTTTTGTATCAGCCTTTATAGCATATTCTGCTTCACATTTTGATTATTATCTTCAAACATAAGGGAAAGAAGCTTACAGAAGCAGAGCTTCTCAATCAATTAATTTCCTGATGCTGACACCTGAGACTTTCAGAAAACCTCTCAAATACCATCAAAGAAACTGTTAGAGTTGGCAGCTAATATTGATACAGTTATCCTCTCTACTCCCTTTAGCTGATTTCCATGGGGGAGCCTTTGGGCCCCATGCTTTTTCTCTTATTGACTGTGAGCAGAGGTGGGTATTAAAGCACTCCTTCCTGATTAGGATTTTTCCCCTGGAGCCACATGGATACTGCTGTGGGGAACTTTCATCTTTGCACAAAAGAAGCTAAACAAAGATATGAGTTGGCATTTTTCTGTCACTGTAATCAAAGCAAGTGCTCCCTACCATTTATAGAACACAAAGAAAAAAACTGCTAGTAGTCTGCTACCAATTTCCAGACCCACAATCTTGGTTAGTGTCCTCAGCTCGACAAGACGATCATCAGACTTTGAAAGCATTATGGTGAAAAAGCAGCTCCCAAGAGCAAACCCTTCTACATTCCTGTAATGTTTGGCATTTACTTGCACTATGCTTTCACTTCAGATTGTATGTGATTGTGCATCCCATAGTGTCCTAGTCTATTGGATAGCCATTCAATCATGAAAATCTATGTCAGGTTTAGATCAGCAGCATTAGCATGGTTACATTATTATTACAACTTAGCCTGTAAAGGTAGCTGAGCAAAATGCCAGATACTAAAATAAACTTTGGACAGTCTCCACTTTCCAGCCTAATAAGCTGTCATATATTTATGCTGTATTCCCTAGTCAGTGCAAAATCACTATAGACTGCTGTGAGTAAAAGCCTAGCTCCTCCATAGATCATTGTATGCATAATTCAATCATTTATATGAAATAGCAAAGCCCCTAATAAGCAAAGGCTCCCAGGGGCTTTGTTTCTCACTACTTGCATTAATACTTTATTAGAAACCTTAATATTGTCAACATTCCTCTAAGATTTTAAGGGCAAAATTAATTTGGGGCACTCCTTGCCATAATAAATTATTAAAGCAATCTGAATGGTAAGATTAAAAAAAAAAAAAAATTAGACTCCTACAAATGAGAATTGCCCTCCATCCATCTTTATACTATTTAGGAACAGATGAAACAGGTATTTAGCCCTCTGCCTTTTTTATTTGCTGAAACAAAGCAACTCCTGTGTTGTGTACTACATATATTAATGATCTGGTAAAGAGATTGAGTTGTGATGTGACAAAAATTGCAGAGGAAATAATTTTGTAGTTTATTCAGAAGCCAAGATGACTGTGAACCTTTTGCTTTGAAGGAGAATGGAGAGCACTGTTACCTATAAAAAGTTGAAAAATGCAAGAAAATATGTTACTGCAAGGAAAAAACTCGTTCACCTTTGGGATTCTAATTTAGCGTTGGTAGTAGAAGGAGGAGACTTAGCTGTCACAGGAAACAGCTAAATTAAGTGTCCTTTTCAAGGTACAGCTACCACCAACATTCAGATAATAGACTGTATTAGATATATACAATACATTATTTATACTGTATTGTGTTGTATTGTATGTGCATGTTATAAGTGCATATTATATGTATGTATATATATATATACACAATGAAAAATATAAAGAGCATTATACTGTCACCAATAAACAAGTGGATTAATGGGACATGGAGAGATACTTTCACAAAGAGTGCTTTCAAAGTTTGGGATTGTGGTTTTGTCCTGAGAAAAGAGAGGAATAAGGAGAAATGTGATAAGTATCGGTGAAAGAAAAAAAAACATTAGAAGATTTGGCTTTTCTTCTCCTTAAGCTGAGAAAGTGATATTCACTGGAATAAAAAGGCAAAAAACCCAAAACAGGTAAAAGAAATACTTGTTAACAAAATATGAAATTAGTCCATCGTGACCATCGCCACAAACAGGTGCTGCAGGTGAGCACTAACAAATATAAATGGGATGGGCTGTTTATATTATCCAGTTTTATACTTACTAATCCTGAGATTCACTAGAGTTTTGGAAAAATCTTGACTTACATAAACTAATATCTCATTGGGAAACCATCCAGTTAATGCAGATAGCTTTTAAATTGGATCACATCACATGAAGTTTCGAAATTTCTTATAAATCCCTTATGGAGTTGTATATTTCATATTTTGAGGAGAGAGGGGCTGTTTGTCTCTATTTTTTGAAGGGGGAGGGTAGTGTGTGTGAAAAAGTAAATTCAAGATTGCAAAGACATTTCAGATTTTTTGTAACTCACCACCTACCAAGTGCTGGTACTGTGAAGTGAAATTGAAATGATCCATGAATTTCATCTTTACTGAGAAAAACTTGTCATGTCCTTCAGGGGACTTTGTATGCTCCTAGAATAGGAGCATCCATCACCATCAGTTTCTTCCTTTGGGGATGCTTATGCATGGACGAAAATGTAGAGGGATACTACAGTTTGAACCACTGTCTGAACTCATTTGATTACTGCTAAAGAAGAATAAAGTTACAGGTTGCTGGAAGAAAGATGGGACAGAAAGCCCTTGAGATGAAGACTTTCTAAAGGACAGGTTAATGGGGGATGGGAGGCTGCCATCAATAGTTCAATTAGGGACTAAAGGTGAAGATCACAAGTTACAGGAGTAGTTGCTCTAAAAATTCAAAATGTGGGACATATTTTTACTTTTCTCATGTACCAGAAACTGACAGGGTGAATTCTCCACAATGGCATTGAAGGGCAGTGTTGCTTATAACGCAAAAAAAAAATTATCTGGATTAGTAGGTAAGACTCTACCTATCACCACAGTAGCTGTCAAGCAGGCTATAGAGACAATGAGCTAACGATTCTTTGTTTTGGGAGGCAATTCCATTCTCCTATGCACAGGTACATTTGAAATTTGGAACAGATGTTTTACAGTGTTCAATACCTTTTAACAGAGGAAGAGACAAGTATACGAATCAAACCTGATAAACAACGGCTTGCAACTTGAAGCAACGAGATCGGTGAGTCCTCTTGTCTGTGCGACCGGCTGTGTCTGAGAGCAAAGCAGCCCCTGTTGGGAATAAGGAAACTAGATAGACGAATGTCCTGTAACTTTTCTCCCCTCTTAGGAGAAAAAGGCCCACCTTTCTTCCGTCAGTAGCGTCTCTGTGATTTGATGCGAATTTTTTTAAACTTTGTGTCTGTCCCTTTCTCTGTGAAGTAAAAGCTGGGAAGCAGGGAGTTTAAATCGGTGGCATTTGCCCAGCACTTGGAAGATAAAAATTACTGCAACTCTCTGAGGAGAGGTTCTCCGGTTCTCCCCTTACTCCATCTGTGTAGGACATGGGAGAAGCCAGTGTCTGAGGCAGAACTCTCCTGCCCAGAGAGCAGCTCAGGGCTCCTGCACGTCACTCTGCTCCTCTCAGGGCCTGGCACAGTGGCAACAGTCATAATTATCATGCTTTGTGTATTTTGGGCTGCGAGCCCCTTCCCTCAGAATCCATGGTGTCATGGTCTTTATTTGATTTCTGCAGTAGGAGCTCCTGCTGCACGACCAAGGATGCAGTCTGGCTCTTTACATTCATCAGTACACTGCTTGCCACAAGGCTGACACGGACCTGTTGCTATACTTAACATTTTGCTGTCTTCAATAATTCTGCTGCCATCATGACTGAAAAGCTTTTGAAACTGGAAGTTTCTCCAGCCTAGATCAGATATCTACCCGATGTTCCTGAGCTAATGAGCTGCACAGTGTAATGTCATGAGGCTGAGGATCACTAATGCAGGCGATGAAGGCCTGTAGGCAATGTGTAGGCAGGAGACAAGAGTGGCTGTCAGGGTTCCCACTGCGTACTGATGCTAGTTTGGGTGTGCAACTGGGAGCAAATGCGTCCGGTACTGTCTTTCTCAGTAGTCTCGACTGATTCTCCTTTTCCTCTCCCCATTCTCCCTATGAAGCTGGGAATTCATGCTGTCCAGGAGCACGCGTGGGTGCCTAGCCTGCTTCCATCAAGTCACGTCACCCTGGGGTTGTGCTTGAGCTGCTGGGAAGTCACTGACAGCTCCAAAGCCACAGCTGCCCAGCCAGGCTATGAGTACAAACACTCCTAATGAACCCATACAGGGGAAATAAAATTTCTTTGTAAAGCATTTTGTAGAGATGTAAACATTAAACATTAAGGAAACATTTAGCTGTCTTTTTTTATATACCTTTATATGCCTTTGTATGTCTGAGCATTTCCACCTCATGCAAGTGCTTTTACAGAAGCTAATGATACATTTGCTAAGACGGAAAAATGAATGTGACTTTGAGTAGGTCATCTATGAGCTGTAAAGAAAAAGACAATTCTGGATAGTTTAAGAAGTGTTATGAAAAGCCCTTTGCTTTCATCTTCTTACACACATATTTTTAATATTCTTTCATTTAAGGTTTTGGATGAAAAACTTGTTTTTGTGAAAGTGCATGCACCTTGGGAAGTGCTGTGCACATATGCCGAGGTTATGCACATCAAATTGCCTCTGCAACCCAGTGACCTGAAAACCCGAGACTCAGCTTTCAACTGGTTTAGTAGACTCTTCAGAGTGGATGAAAACATTATCAAACCTGAGCAAGAGTTTTTCACTGCCCCTTTTCAAAAGGAACATTTGTCCAACTTTTATATTCAAGACAAAGACACCTTTTTCAATCCTGCAACTAGAAGCCGAATTGTAAGTCCATGGAGTATTTCTAGCATTTAATCTTTAAAAAAAAAAAAGTCTTTTAATTAAATCAGTGCAATTATCTTCATGAAAGCATCCTGAAAAATTAGAAATATTTGTGATGCAATAGTCCTGTCTTGTTTATGAAACAGCCTGGACAATTCAGAAGGAAAGCATTCCTTAACTTTTGTCCTGTTTCTGTTCCACCTGAATTAAAAGAGGGGATTTGAATGGTTCATATACCCTGTGCAGTTAATTTTGACTGCACTGCTTACCCTTTCCTAGCTTGATTATATGTTGAGACAGGTATAGCTCTTTGTGATTACTTTCAGGTTCATTTTATCCTGTCCCGTGTGGAATATGCAACTAAAAACAATGTGAAAAAGTTTGGCATTAACAAATTACTGGACACTGGAATCTACAAAGCAGCATTTCCCCTTCATGACGTAAGTCCAACACTTGTAACTGAAGTATATCTCAAAATAGAGGCCTGAACTGTATCTGTGGGGTTTATATCAAAAAATATAAGCACTATTGATTGCCTTACTCCTTGGCTGATTATTGTATCAACATAGTAGAATAGGACACAGTTTGGCTAAAGACATTTTCTTCCAATACATTGTTGGTTAAAAATGTAGCTCCATAACTGAAAAATAATATATTTCATTTAGGAGGTCTTAAACTCTGTCTGGGAGAAGTAGCTCAGTAAAGTGCCTGACGTGAGCAATAGTTCCCATGACACACTGTATCATCAGTTCTAAATCAATTTGAACATTGTCCCTTTTTTTAGTACTCAATTTTTCAGTATTAAAATTCCTATCAAATATCAACATTGCTAATAAAGATGTAGACTACAGATCTCATCTTAGGATGCATGACAGTCTCACACAGTGAGAAATATTCCCACAGTTCCTAAACATTGCGACATACATGGAGGGAAACACACGTTTCTGCAGAAAGGCTCTGTCCGGCCAGTCCAACACCTCACAGGTGATGTTGGAGTTGTGAGGAGAGAAGCTCCACTGGGTTGATTTTCACCTTGCAATAATAAGAAATCCATCTTTTGTAGCTACACTTCTCAAGCTTTTTAAATTATATCATTTAAAGAAGAAAGTTATTCTGGAAATTGGTTTGCATAGAAAGGCTAGCAGTAGCACCAAAAAAGAAAATGAAGGAGAAAAAAATCAGATTTCAGAGTATTTGACTAAGGAAAAACTCTGTGTGAGGCTGCAAACGGGATACAGTAAGCAAAGACTGAGGGCACTTTTTCTGCATTATATCTATTATATACCCACACCCCCACACCTCCTCCTCATCAGAGACACCATTCTGTGTCTGAGGTGTGTTCTGTTGAGAAGACATTGAGAACATGGGAGGTCAAGAATGGTAACTGCTTCAGTTATTTAGACTCAGTTAAAAATATTCTGGAGGCCTCCAAGTATTTAAAGGAAATCTTTAAGGCAGAATCAAGACAAATCATGTTTCTTGTAAGTAACCCAAATCTTTACAGGATAGAATTAATATCATTCATGACTAACTGTTTTTAAGGTTTCCTTTTAAAGATTTAAAATCTGCCTCGCAGGCTCTTTCTATCATGGCATGGGGAATTTGGACTCAGTATGACCAGTAATTAATGACTGCCTTTCTATGCAATTGAAATAATACATCACAGCTACTCTGAAAATCAGAAGTAGCCTATAGATTACTACAAATGTCACTTGTCTTGTTGTATCACAGATACAGAATGGAAAATTCCCTCAAATAAAATAGGCTTTATTGAAATAGGTTTTCAAATAACCTAGTAAAAACCACACAGATTATTTCCACGTGAACTCTCTGTTAAATTAAAAATAGAGACTAGAAGCCCTGAATTTATCCCTCAGACTTTCCAGCCTTCATTCCAGTACGATATTTTTTTGAAGCAAAGCATGTTATCATGTTAAAACTACTTAAAATTGATTTTAATTCAGTCGTATTCTCTAATTAGAATGGATCCTTTTTCTATTTTCTATTCCTAAGTGCCAAGACACTGACATGTGCTTAGATTTAAGTTCATGATGAGTCTCTGTTATTTTCAGCTCACATATGTAAAGCATTTGCTTTAGCATTCGATGCCTTTCTGACAACCTTCTATCCGGAACCCTGGTGCACTCCCAGAGCTGCCTTCCTGCTCCAATTCCTGGCTTGCAGTGAGACTGGGCAAAAAGCCTATTCCAGGCTCCGGCTTCAAGGCATAGGGTCTGCGGAGATGAAAACAGATCCGTGCTGGTTAGGTTAATGGTATCTTCTTCTCATGCTCTTTCTGGTTTGCAGTCCAGTTTTAGGCATCCGTCAACCGATCCCAACTGCCCAAGTGAACGATATCTTCTCTACAGAGAATGGGCTCATCCTAAAAACATTTTCAAACTACAACCCCTGGATTTCATCAGGTTGGTGTGGCTGGGGCTGGACTAATGCAGAGGGAACTGGGAATTTACATGACAGGTCTGGTTTTGAGGATGTCAAAGAGACACAGCTCAGTTCTGAGGGCAGATACATAAACTCATATTAGCCCATGCACGAGAGCATACTTTGAGCTTGGTTTCATGATAAGCCAATTCAAGAAAAAGCAACCACTTAAAATTTTTCTTTGCGAGGTATGATCTTTCTCTCTTTTTGCTTTTTTGTTCACCTTCCTATCCTCTTATAAAAGCATGAAAGTGGTGATAGAAATACTCAGCTGCAATACTACTATCCCAAAGTTCAAACCAGAGGAATATGACAATATGAGTTGGCATAAAATGTATGAAACGAAGAGCCATTTGAAACAGAAATGTGAATTTACTTGCATTTCAGGAAAAAAACCCATTTCCTCTTGACAGGAAATACTATGGAGAGAAAATTGGAATCTACTTTGCTTGGCTGGGCTTTTACACTAACATGCTGATCGTAGCTGCGGTTGTAGGAGTTGGCTGTTTTCTGTATGGATGCCTGACAAAGGACAACTGCACATGGAGGTACCTGATCAGGCCTATTTTAATGTCACGTGCAATTTTGGTTGGTCCTCTACAAAGGGACTGTACAGGGTTTGCAAGACACTGCATAATAAAAGAGGCAAAATGAAAGGGCCTGAGAACAACAACAGTTGTGGATTTGAAGGTAAAGGCATAAAATAGAGATAAGAAGAGTAATGCATGTCCATGGACTGTTACAGAGACAGACATCTGAGAGTTTGTTATTTCATCATCTTCTTTATATTTTGCACCATAAAATATATATTTATATATATTTCTGCATACCTAGTGTAGAAACACGAAGAAAAGTGTGACAATCATAAGTCAATACAAATTGCCGTAGCACACCATTTTCACTGTGGTGATCCTTGCAGGAGATATCCAAAGACCTTGATAAAACCCTCAAAATTTCTTTCCTCTATTTTTAGAGAAGAATAGAGGAAGAGCAACAGCACAGGGGTATCAGCTGCCCAAGATACATTGGGAGGAGAGGCATAACCAAGAACAGCTTCCCTAATCAGAACATGACGAAACCAACCATGGCACAATGACCCAGGAAAAAAACACTTGGGACATTGTGCCAAATCATCTACAGGCTGTCACACTGTATACCCCCTTCTGGAAGGGTGTTTACCTTTATAAAACATGCTGAACGTCTGTTCCAGAGCTCCACTCCTGCAGCCAATTTATACCCGTTTAGCCTTATGCCAGTATTATCATTTAGTTGAATATTTATGTCCCTCCCTGGTGTTTACCCCACTGATGTATTTATAGAAAGCAATTACATCACCTTTCAGCCTCCACCATACTAAGTTAGTACATATTAGCTAGATGGCAATTTTTTTTTGCCATCTCTTGGGAGATAGATCTGCCATTACTTGAATCCCCCGCTGTGCACATTTTCCAAACTGATCCTCCTTAGAAGACCAGCAGGGACTAGGTAGCCATTTTGGTTCTGCAGCTATTCCTTGCTCTGGTAGGCAGTGTTCCTCTTCCTTCTCCCCTCAGACTTGCTATGATAGCACGTGTGAATATGCAAGTGTGGGTTCCCTATCTTTAAAGAGTTGTTTTATTTTTAATGTGAGCAGTTTTGAGAATTACTACCATACAGAAAGAGATGGAAATTGTTTTCCTCCTATGCCATCTGTTTTTGAGATGAGGAGTAAGAATGGCAATGGGGATGTGTTGCCGGGGCTGGGAGGGGAACTCCCGAGAACAGATCACTGGTAAATTATTTCTCAATTCCCTGAAATTATTGCACTGTTCTCATGTGCAAAAAAAAGACTAAAGAATTTAGTGTTGGTGAGTGACTGACTAGTTTTGTTTCTAGCCAAGAAGTATGTGATCCCAACATAGGAGGTAATATCATAATGTGCCCTCAGTGTGATAAAGTATGTACCTACTGGAACCTCACCATCACTTGTGAATCATCCAAGGTAACTACACTTACAGCTCATAGACACGCTATCGAACTTTATTTGCGCTTTCTCAGTGCTACATATAAAGCGATGTTGTTCCTCCACGAGCATTCTGCAGAACTGCTAGAACTGTGCAAAGAGTTGTTCCTTTTGATACAGCCACTGAACTTTAAGACGTAAAAACAACAACATTAATTGCTCCAATTTGATCTAAGATTAAAGAAATTGGGGTTTTTTGTTTCACATAGCTGCCAAATATTTGATACAGGACCAAAGTGGTTTTTGTATTTGAAAATGAAACACTTCGTTTCCATTTGGGAGTACTTCCTCCTTTTGTCGGGGGGACAGGTGGGAAGATTCAACTACTAAAGTCTTGATGCAGCAGCTCTGAATCAATTTTGCTAAGCAAATGTTTAAAGCATGTTTTGACGTTTCTAAATTCTGCCCTCTCCCTCCCCAAAGAAGTTATCTGGGTCTGTGCCTTGAATTTGACCCGTATTGTCAAGGAGGAGATGGATACAAGGAGAGGCTGACGTTGGCCATGACAGAAGCTGCGACACAGCTGTGTCCTGTTAGCTGTGACGCAGCCTGACTCTTGCTCTGACTTCCTATCTAGAGGAACCTTGCTTTCTTTCTCCATGACCTTGTCTTCTAGGTTAATACTAGCCTTTTGTCATTCCTTTCCATAGATTCAGTCCCTCCCAAAACTGCAATTTTTTCAGCTAGCTGACAAAAATATTTTGCCCAGCATTAATGTGTTGCTTCAGCTCACTTAAAGGGCAAAATAAATAAGAATACAGGGAAAAGGCTGTGATGGAAAGAAAAGGCAAATTGTGACCACAGAGGTATCTCATCAGAATGTGTTTTTACTAACTAGCTTGATTTGGTGTCATCCTGGTCATGAGGACCAGATGTGTCCATGGCCTTTTTGTGGCTGTATTAAAAGTACATAACTCTAAGCTGAGTTCCCAGACCAGAAGCGCTGTTTTTCCTTTTCCTATGCAACAGATGGAAGGAAGTTTGTTAGCACACCATTTTACTATCCTCTTGATGCATATTTGGCCTCTATTTTTAATTCTGAGCTTTGCATTTAATTTCCTGAATTTACTGGAGGGTGGTGTACATTGACAGAAATTGAGGAAACACTATCAATAAAAATTGTTTATTAAACTACATAAAAAATAAAAATCAACATGTTCAGTAAGCAGCTTCTGTTTTGGGTCAGTGTAGAAAACAAAATGGTTTATTATATTTTAAGTCTTTTTTTTCTTTTCTGTTTTTCCAGAAACTCTGTATATTTGATAGCTTTGGAACACTGGTGTTTGCAGTATTTATGGGAATATGGGGTAAGTAGATTTTGACAGCTGTGGTTTCTCATCTAATTTTGGCCAAGCCTCCAGCATCAGCCACAAAAACAGATAAATTTGCAATGACTTTATTTTCTAGCGCTCAGGTTTTCACCAGTAGGTAGTTTCATAGATAGTTTCATAGAAGATACATACATTCACACAAACTCTTTTTTAACATCATAAGAAAACAAAAAATTGTAGATGTAGAACTTAAAGTTGGTCTTCAGTGTCTGTTTCGTTTCATTTGATTTGGAGAAAAGTCCAAAAGAAGTGATTAGAGCTGCCTCATGTTCATACAGCAGGAGCCAACCACATGATTAAGTATATCAGGCGGAGGAGCTGCTTTTTTCCCCAAGTGTTTGGAGCTGCCTGTGCCTATTAACAGCTGCGTGATTGCACAAGGCAATTGAAAAATAGTCATTTATTTTATTTCCCAGGAATTTTTTTCTCCTGTCTTTATGTAAGAAACTGATTGTAAAAAGTGTAGTAGTTACAAGGACTAGATCTATCTTTCAGCAGAGCAAATGTATCTGAAACCAGGATGTTTCTCATGGGTGAAACCACTTGGTGCTGTATTCAAGGGATTTGGTAAGGTTTATTTTCCCAGAAACGGTTTTGTTTGTTCCTATTAGCAGCTTTGTTAGCCAGCTTTTATTGCACTGTCTTATCTAGAAATTGCCAAAATAAGTTCAATGTTAGGTCTATATACAGGATACTATAGAGAAAATAACTCATGTAACATTTTGAATTCATATGTGAATTCAATTGTGGGCTGACAAGAATACGTAATTTGCTTTCTTTGTAAAATGCATTGTGTTTTTATTTTTCTATGATGACCTAAAGCTACCGCTTTAAAGAAACATAAGATGAAACATATCATTTAAGAAAGATTTATTTCAAAATATGCACTAAAATAAAAATACCAGTAGGAAATTTTCTAAATAAAAGAAAATTAGAATTTTGATACTAATGTAATCTTCTGTTATCTGAATAATTATTTTTTTTACAATTTGCTTTTTAATTAAAATTGTGTTTTCTGATTTGAAGAACGGTTCCAAAAGCAGTAATTACAAAGTTAAGCTGCATGGTTATAGTGATGGCTGCAAGGTCTATTAGTGTTCTTGTTATAGGTCCACTATCTAAAGAGGTGAATTGAATTACAGAAATTCAGTCAAAATTGTACTGAATCCAAATGACTCATGGTCCTGGTACAATCCCAGATGTAATTTCCGTCTTGCTCTAATACTTTTGTAAACCTCCTGGTCTACAAAATTGAAAATGATTTACAATTACTGCATCATTATCATCAATAAGCTTTTAATAATTGCATTTTTTTTTAGTGTATTCCCTTCAAAGACCTTATAGCACTATAAAACACCAGTGAATTTGGCCTCAAGAATTAGCCTTCTATACATCAATGCTCTGGACCAACACTTCTGCCACTTGCCCCATGATGATATGACTAGATTGGCAAAGGTCATGAAAAAGACGCAGCTTCCACTTCACTTGCTGCCATCACTGGATTCCTTCCCTGGGCAATATCAGTTAAACAAACAAATGTTCTCCAGTGGAGGCATTTCTTTTCAGCCCTTGGTAACACAGCTTCAGAGGCAGAATACCTGGGCTGTGCTGAATGGCAGTGTTGAGGGACATGTGAAAGGGGACATTACAAATTACCAATGTGAGGTGAAATTAGCGCTCAGATCTCCTGATTCTGAAATGTCATTGTTTCCAATGTTAAAAAAATACTGGTTCAAAATAAAAGGAAAATGTCAAATCCAGCAGCAGCTCCTTCCCTGCTCTGAAAGACACAACCTGGCTGCTGGCTTATTTTAGCTAGTAGAAGTATTCTTTGTACTGGTGCTGAGAACTGTCCCCATGTTACGTGTACTTCTTTTGCTGTTAGTACAGAGGCTATCGCAGAAGGAGGCCCTGAGCTTCTGGACTCCCCAGCAGCAGCTGGATTTGCAGCTGGAGCAAATCAGTATAGACTGTAGCTTCCTGTGATTTGGGCTGGGCAGCAGTTAGAGGTTTATGGAAGACTAATCTCCTCGCTCTGCAGGAGAAGGCAGATGTGATCCTCTAGCCCACTGCTTGGAATGGCCTTTGTGCGTCTGAGCGTGAAGTAGCAGGGAAGTCCTTGTGAAAGAGGCCCCTGAATAATCAGAGGAGGAGAGTTTCCTGGGATTGTGCCTGTGTGAAGATGTCAAAGTCATCTCACAGCCCAGCCCAAGGGGTTTTCTGGGTTTTAAATGCTTCAGTCTGGGGTTTATTGACCACACCTGATTTTGGAAACAACCTTTAATGTTTGGACTTGTTACTGCATGCCATTGATGTTTCATCATTCAGGATGAGGGGCCAAACTAATTAAAAAAAAAAAAAAAAAAAACAAACACTTTTAGGGTTAATTACTCCCAGACAATGGCAGCAATGAGGAGTGTAGTGGCAGGATACTAACTCCTCCTGGAGGCAGTGCTGCAGAGCCACACCGCTCATTTAATCTGAGGATGTGCTGGCTTCAGTAATAAAGCATTCGGGTGCACTGGGGAGTGTGGTGCTGACACTCATCATCCTGAGCTCCTCCCAGCCTTCTCAGCTGAGTCTGTCATTGCCTCTGCTGCCAGATCTAAATGCATGACATCTCAGGCCAAGGTAATGAGTCTGGCTGGATTCATGTCTGACCAGTACCGCTTGGGCATCAGTGTACCTGGTCTCCCAGTGCTTCCAGTGTAGGAGCACAGTCCAGGGAAACTGCTGACCCAGCCCAGAGTTTCTAAGCTCCATGCCATGCAAAATGAGCTGCAGCCACTTCAGATTTGTGCTAGTAGAGGAAGAAAGGTAGCTGTGTTTCAGCCGCTTTACCATCATTGGTTCTTGTAGTATGCAAACTGATAATTTGTCCGCACAAAAATTGCAAACCAAATTAACATGAGCTTTTCCTTGTGGCAATTTTTGGCATACTGAGTTGTCTTCTAGAAGTCCTGCACTCTCCAGTTGTCTTCACCTATCCAACAACTTGCTTTCTTATGAATCCCATGATAAACTTTTTCAAAAGCAGTCTACAATAAGAAATCCAAAGTGCTCACAGCCTTAGGCAGAAAGTAAATAAATTTATCTTTATTTTTTAGTATGTACTTACAACACCATTTACCTCAGGTTTCTCTTATCAAAGTACCTATATATTCAAAGCAATAATTGCATGAAGCAGTAGATCCAGTTATTTTCACTCTCGCATTAGCCAATAAGGGTTTTGTTCCATGTGTGTGGAAGTCTATAGGAAAACTGAGCCATGCTGATCAGGGGGTCAAGCAGTGTCCAATGCTCACATGGTATTCCTCACTTTGTTTGTTTTCTGGACAGTTACTCTGTTTTTGGAGTTTTGGAAGCGACGGCAGGCTGAACTGGAGTATGAGTGGGACACAGTTGAGTACTTAGAGCAAGAAGAACAAGTTCGCCCAGAATATGAAGCTCAGTGTACTCATGTAGTAATGAATGAAATCACACAGGTAAGGAACATTTTGATAACTGGTGGTGGCTATTGCAATAGACATGCTGTGAGAGGACACTATAAAAATGGTGAATCTAGACTGGAGCTGTGTAAATTAGCAGTGCTTCAAGGAGCATTGATAAGCCGACCTGGAAGTACAGATAAAGTACAGAAGTGTGGGAGGGAATTTGTGCCTAACTGGGTGCACCTTAAAGTAGTTGCCTGTTTGAGGAGCTTGCACTGCTGAGGTTCCTGTGTCATAAATAAATAGAAGTAGGCATCTCCCCTAGCTTAGGAGACTTAGTATAGTTTGATAAATCCCCCAAGAAATGACCCAGTGTTGCTGCCGGAGGCCAAGATCACAGAGCATTTGCTATCTTTGCATAAGAATACATCAGGAAAAAAGGCAGAAATAGAGGGAAAGATGTTACAATATCTATCAAGCCAGGACTGGTTTTTTAACCAAAGATGTTTCTGTTTGAAATGTATAAATAGGTATTGTTGCTAAGTGCATGTGGGTGCAATTACGATTAATAACAGCAAACTCACAGGGACAAGGATAATCCTTATTTCAATGAAATAGGATTCATATTTATGAGGATCTTAGTTTAGATCTCTATCTGTTATACATTTTGAGTAGCTTTAGCTTCTGTAGCTCACTCCAGCTCAGCTCCACTTTTTACTAATCTCTGTCAATATATTACTCTAGTGTTTATCTGATCATTTGCATTGCTTTCACATTCCATCCACATTACACTAATGTTTATTAGAGGGCACTTGAAAAATTTCAAAATTAACTGCCATGGTTGGAACTATCCTTTATAGATCTTCTTTTTTTGTATCTTGTACTGCACAAAACCTGATTCATTCTTAAAGCTTATGAACGTATGCCACCTTTAATGTATAAAGTCATAGCTATGAAGTTTCTTTCAGACAGTTCAAAGAGTGAAGAATATGCTAAAACATAAATATTTTGATCCTCAGAGATCCTATAAAGACTCAATGAACTTTCACATCACCACACTGAGGCAGGCATTTTCCTTGGGAAAGCCATCCCATTGTTTCCGTGGAATAAATTGAGAAATATGGAGACCGAGGACCAAAATTATAGTGCCTGCTAATTTTAGCCAATGAGCTTTGAAAGCTAATGGCGTTGGATGCCGTGATCAGCCAAGACAGATGGGTCCATTGAAAAGAACTATGCACCTTGTCATAGCTGAAAGTAAAAGTTTAGGACACTCAGCCTGTGTGGAAGTCATTTTTATCTTAGAATGGGCAGCAAAAAAAAAAAGACTTTTGAAATCATGAATAAATGTGAGCTTCTGGGACCATAAAGCAAGAAAAGAAACAAAACCAGAGACTTCTTTCCTTTTTTTCTGCCCTCAATATCATACAGGGTTTAATTGCAGCCCCTAAAAAATACGAATAAAAGATTGCGTGCAGCCTTGATCTGTTTCTAAATCTTTTACAGCAAGAAGAACATGTGCCTTACACTGCCTGTGGGAAGTGCATACGGATGACTTTCTGTACAAGTGCAGTTTTCTTCTGGGTAAAGTTCTCCTCCTAGTCTTTCACCTCATGAATTCACTTCTCTAGTAAGTGTCTAAAAAATGATCTTCCTGAACTGAACAAAAGGTAACAAAGGAACAGGTTCAGCTGGATTTCCATCTGATGCATAAACCAAGCCCATAACATATGGACCCACATGGAGAAGGTAGCTGTAGTCACCAAATACTCATTAGCGTACAGCCAATAGAAAATATCCTGCAGCTGTAACTTGTGAGTTATGGTTGTGAATGCGAGTCGTTGTTTTTTCCCCTCATTATTTCAAGATAAATGTCTTTGCTTTCACTGGGGAGCAGGGGAAAGACTTTGGTTTATATGCTCCCCTCCCTTCCAGTTTCCATCCTACTTGTTCCAGCCGTTTGCTTCAATATCATGTCTCACAGTCCTGGGTCTCTTTCAGGTTTTTCCCTTCACTTAACAGAGCAAAGCTGGGAGCTCTCTTATCTCCCAAAGCTACTGCTTTAATTACAACTAAAACTTGAAAGCAGTCCAGTCACCCATGAAACAATGTCTAACATGGTGACCATGCTCAGAGGGGTCGCCTTGAAAAGCTCAGTGTTTTAGCATGCTGCATGTCCTCCTCGCCTGTAGCACAAACTGCAGCTGGAAAAGACCTCGTCCTACGTGATAGAAGACAGATAGGAGATAGAGTGGTGGCTGACAGCCCAGGAGACCCCCAATATTAACACATCTGAAATACAAAGGAAAGAATACTGGCTTGCTGTTGGATTTAAATAGGCAGGACTTCAAGTTGAAGGGAAGAGGTTTGATTTGGGTTTGTCATTTGTGTTACTGCATTCTCTTAGTATGTGCAGGGATGGGGGAGGTAGGTGGTTTCATGGGATTTTGCAATGATAGTGAAAAAAGATACACAGCTCTGCGGACCTCAAAAAAAATCACAAATCTGAAAAATTGCTAGAGAACTAGCAAGAAATAAAAGCAGGAGGAGAAGCAGAAAGAAGGGAGACGGCAAGCAAGATGGAGTGCATGGATCATTATTACGACTTCTGTAGATTACATGACTTGGCTTAAAATTTGTCTATTCCTTTGAGGGGTCTGTAGTCTGTAATACTATGGTGTGAAAGAGAAGGTACAGCCCCCACAATAATCCATGCAGACTTGCTAGTACATTTGCCATCCTGCCAATTGCTCAATGTCTAAAGAGGGAGATTTTTTCCATCACATGCCTCGAGGCATAAGATTTGATTACACATCTCATTATCTTTGCTCACATTGGTACAAACTTTGTTATTAGTCATAAACCAGACCATCTCTTTTCTTTCCTGCAGATTGACTACGCTGCATGAAAAAAAGGCTTCTTTCATGAGTTCTAAATTTATTGCCTTCTATCTTGTTTGGGCATCCTCTTGCACTCATCTTACACGATGGAATGACAGGCACACAATCGGTTTCCTTTGCCTATCGTAAAAAGTATTTCAAAGTCACTTTTTCCCAAAGCCGGTGGTTCAATATTAACATCTTTCTCATGTTCCCTTGGCAGATTCTTTTGATTATTGCTTCAGTTATTGGAATCATCGTCTACAGGCTCTCAGTTTTCCTGGTGTTTTCTGCAACGTTGTCACAGCACATTAACGGAACGGAGGCGATCCGCAAGTACCTGACTCCGCAGACAGCCACTTCAGTAACTGCTTCGCTCATCAGCTTTATAATCATTATGGTTCTCAATGTCATCTATGAAAAAGTGGCAATTCTGATTACTGACTTCGGTACGCTGCTGCTGCACCTCAGATAGAAACTTGGGGTAAAATAGCAATGAAAACCCAGCATTTTTATATATATTAAGAATTCCAATAAATGAACACCAATACCACATATTGCAGAATTTTCCCACCAAATCACACAATACCACCTAGAAATTTTCATATACAGATTTTCTCAATATCAAAGGAATATGGTACTCAGCTCTTTGACTGAAAACTCCTTGTATAGCTGGCATGAAAGATCAATTGTTTACAGTTTTGTGCTTGTGAAACAGACAAAGCAAAGAGAATTACTGTAATAACCAAGCTTTATGAAAACAGATCAGTAAGGCATAACACATTCAATTACATTTGCTTTTGTTTATGGGGAAAATAGCTATTTTCTTGTAAATAAATGAAATAAGGTCACTGTTCCAAAGCTAGATACCATTCCGTGTTATTAAATAGATAAACAGCCACAAATATTATTATTCTTTATATCCAGACCATCAACATTAAAGTAGCTATTTTACTATAGATGTGTGAAGCAGTGCGGTGTTTTAATATAGTTTCGTTGAATACTATTTCTTCAAATACTGTTTCATCAGTTCAAAGTGTTACATTTGCATCTTTCCCAAGTGTGCAGGATTTGGGTGTTTTTTTTTCACTGAGCTATCAGAATTTTTGCTTGTTCTTTTTCTTTATTGTCAGGGAACAAGTTTTTTCCTTTTTTCAGCCCATACAGTTTTAGAATTAGCATAATGGCTACAGTATACACAGGGATTATGTACGATCTAATTCATAATGCTCTCAGTCATATTAAGGAATACAAGGCATACACATACTTTTCCAGCTGAGCTCTAAAGCAGCTTGTAGGTTACTTGTAGGTTGGCTTCTTTTTTAAAATTGTTTTGTTTTTAATTGCAGAGCTTCCAAGGACACAGACTGATTATGAAAACAGTCTGACCACAAAGATGTTCTTGTTCCAGTTTGTCAACTACTATTCTTCATGTTTCTACATAGCCTTCTTTAAGGGTAAATTTGTAGGTCACCCTGGAAATCCAGTTTATTGGCTAGGAAAGTATCGCAATGAAGAGGTAAGCATGTATGGTAGTGTGTGTTTTTAAACAACAGGAGCCATTAGTCCAGGTATTCGGCTGCAGTTAGGAGTGCATAACGTAGTTGTACATATTTAACATGAGGGTTCAAAAAGTGACTGCCTCCCAAGCCAAATGGCTCCTTAGTAACCCCTAGCGTAAAAGAATATGACATGAGATCAGTTGGGCTTGGAAATGTATTACGCATACCCAGACAAGCTTATTTTCCCATGGTCCAACAGTCTGTGAACTGTCACATGGGAAGGGGAGAACATCAGTAGAAGCATTCCTATTCTGCTGGGTGAGCCTCAACTGGTGACAGCACAGTACAGAGCTGCATGACTTCACTTGGTATTTCACTCTTTCACTGATGTCCTGTCAACCTGTCATATGTGGCCTGGAATTGGCTTTTGCATACCTTACTGGAAAGGTTTGCCTAAATAGTCATCTTACATTACTTTACGAAATGTTATCATAATAAACTAGGAATGCATTGTTTTAAGTGCTTCATTCATGCCTGAAAAGTTACCTAACTTCAAAAATTTTTTCTGTCTCCCTCAACCTTCAGTGTGATCCAGGCGGATGTCTCCTCGAACTCACAACTCAGCTTGCCATCATAGTAGGAGGTAAAGCAATCTGGAACAACATTCAAGAAGTGCTCCTTCCGTAAGTCCAAACTATTAAGTAAGCTTTCTTTCACATTTGAAAGATACTGCTTTTGCTTGATGCGTTCAGGCATTTGGTCACTAAATTTGATAGGTGCATGTTGTATTCTAAAAGGATAAGACTAGTCTTTCAGGGCCTTTTTAGGCAGTTTGGATATTTTCGATCTGGTAGCTCTGAGCTCCTGTCTCTGTTGTTCTGACTGATTTTAGTTCTAGTCAGAAATACTTTCTTCCTCTGCAAATCTGACTCAATGTGTTTCAGGTTGGATGTTTCAAACTGAGGCAATAAAAGCTCTGAAAATGTTAAACTAAAGACTATTGCTTAATATTGAGTGGAATGATTTGTTGTTATATATGGGGTTTTTAAAAATCATACATAAGTTACTGATTTAACTCATTAAGTTTCACAGTCATATTTGACATTCATAGTGCCTATAAGTTCTCTTTCAGTGGGCCACGTCTCTGGAAGGTCATGTTTTAATATAAACAATAAGCAAAGTGCTAAGCATAAATGCCCTCCATTTAATTCATGTTAGGACACTATCCAGGACTCTGTTCTTTCTCCCAGGGATTGTTCTTTATTTTATGCTGATCAGTGGCTGTTATGTTGCTTGGAGTAGGGAACTCCCAGTTTGCTCATGCGCTCCTCAATGCCCTAAACACCAGCCCATGGCATTGTAATCCCTCTGGCTGTTGTTCTTCTAAGCCCACAAATTGTGCCTCTTTGTGACTCCACCTCAAAATACATCTTAAATACTGTTTAGAGTTGAGGCTAGGGTGCTCTGCTGAGATACGATTCCTTCAGACCCCGATACTCCATATATGCTGCTGGTTGCAAGGTGGACCTGTAGACCTATCATTCTTTTCAATGTCTTCTTTTACCTGGGAAGAGTCCCTAGACTGAGCATGCCTGCAGATGTCAGTTCCAGCCACAGACAACTGACTCCCTCTTCTCTGTACAGGAAATATACTCATCTGACCAGAATTTTAAATTCACTTCCCTGGGTAACATTTAGGTGTTGAAACATCAAGCATCACTTCTGGATCTGGTTCTTAACTGCTCTCTCATTCTGCATCCCTCTAAATACAAAGAGAAGCATTTTGGTTTTTCTCTGTTGATAAACATTTGCCCCAGCTCCACTCTTTTTTTGATATGGTTCTTTGACTTCTGAAAATGGCTACAGTCAATTCATCAGTTTTCTTAAATTCTCATGCAAGCCTTTCAGATGAGAAGATCAGCCTCACCTCGATCCCTGGGAGGGTGAAGGAGCAGCTAATCCTGCAAACCATTTCCAGGCACATGAAGGACAAGAAAGTCATGGGGAAGTCATGGTTGACCAATCTGCTAACCTTCTATGATGAAATAACTGTCTCAGTAGATGAGGGGAGAGCAGTGGATGTTGTCTACCAGAACTTCAGTAAGGCTGTTGACACTACTTCCATAAAAGCCTCAAAGGGAAGCTGTTGAAGTACAGTCTGGATGAGTACACAGTGAAGTGGGCTGAAATCTTACTGAATTGCCAGGCCTAGAGGGTGGTGACCAGAGGCATGAAGTAAGTTGGAGTACCCTAGGGGTCATTACTGGGTCTCATCCTGTTTAACATCTTTGTTAATTATCAGAATGAGGGGGTAGAGTGCACCCTCAGCAAGATGACACCAAACTGCTAAGTCAGAGGGTTGTGCTACCGCCCTGAGCGACCTTGACGGGCTGGAGAAATGGGCTGATGAGAACCTCATGGAATTTAGCAAGAGGAAGTGCAAAAGTCCTGCACCTGGGGAAGAACAACCCCATGCTGGAAAGCAGCTTGGCAGAAAAGCGACTGGGAATGCTGGTGGACACCAAGTTCAACATGAGCCAGCAGTGTGCCCTTGCAGCAAAGAAGGCTAACGGTACCCTCAGCGGCAATAGGAGGAGTCCTGCCAGCAGGTTGAAGGAGGTGCTCCTTCCCCTCTAGTCAGCACTGGGGAGGCCACACCTGGACTGTTGTATCTAGTACAAGAGAGGCATGAACATACTGAAGAAAGTCCAGCAAAGGGCCACAAGGATGATTAAGAGACTGGAGCACCTCACGTATGAGGAAAGGCTGAGAGAGCTGGGACTTTTCAGCCTGGAGTAGAGAAGGCTTAGGGAAATCTCATCAAAGTGCACAAATGCCTGAAGAATGAGAGTAAAGACGAGGAAGCCAGACTAACCTCAGTGACTAATGCCTAGTGACAGGGCCAGAGGCAATGGACACAAACTGAAACAAAGGAGGTCCCCCTTGAACATACGAAAACACCTTTTTACTGTGAGGGTGACCAAGCATTGGCACAGGTTGGCCAGGGAGGTTGTGGAGTCTCCATCCTTGGAGATATAGAAAAGCCGTCTGGACATAGTCCTGAGGAACCAGCTCTAGATGGCGCTGCCTGTTCAAGGTGTTGGATCAAATGACCTCCAGACATACCTTCCAACCTCAACCATTCTATGATTCTGTAAATTTTGTGATCAGAAGGAATTAATCCACCTAACCACAGGCCTACATTTAACTTGATTTTTTGTTACCTTGAATTTTATATGGTCACTCACCTGTACGACAGAAGTATAAATCACTGTGATTCTGATAAATTGCCCTTTTACACTCTAATTTAAACTAACTGCTTTCAGGATAAGGAAACAGAAGGTTACACTCATGTCTGAAGGAATTTTTCAGTAATTCAAGAATAACTAAATCCACTGTTCAAAGCTATAACTGCACAAATGTCAACTTTTTCCATTTACTGAACTTTTTAGTTTGTTTTACCAATGTTAGTGGTCTTTTTCTCTCTGGCTGATAGTTGGGTTAAGAATCTGATTGGAAGATACTGTGCAGCCGCTAGATCAGAAAAAGTTGTTCCACGTTGGGAACAGGACTACCACCTGCAGCCCATTGGAAAACTTGGCCTGTTTTATGAGTATCTTGAAATGGGTAAGTGGCAGTTTAGTTCAGATTTGCTATTACTGCTGCACACAAACATGCTGTAAAGAAAACCTCCACACAAGCAATGCTTAATAAGTTTATAGACAGAGAAGACAAGAATGTTTTCCAAGACAAGCTTTGATAAACCATTATAGATAATTTTGCAAGCTTTTATTAAGCAGCTACACCTCAATCCAATTTATAACTAGAAAACATCAATCCAATTTATAACTAGGAAACAGTACATGGTTGTAAAAGGAAGAGAACTGCTGCTTCTTTTCCCCGTTCTCTGAGAAATGCATGCAGAAGGCAGACCACTGCCATGTTCTGGTGGTGTGAGACTGCCGTGTCAAGGATCTGCAGTGATGTCATGGTTTAGGCCACTCTGGCAACTAAACTCCACACAGCCGCTTGCTCACCCTCCCCCCAGTGAAGTGGAGAGGAGAAAAATGTAATAAAAGGACTGAAGGTGGAGAAAAGAACAGAGAGGGAGCACCCACCAACCGTGATCCCGGGCAAAACGGACTCGGCTTGGGAACAAAATGTTTCAATTTATTAACAGTTACTTAAGAGGATAAAAAGAAACAAACCCAGATCTTAAAAACAATACCTTCCCCCTGCTTCCCGCCTTTCTTTCCTGCTCTACCTCCTCCCCAGCGGCACAGGGGGAAGGGAATGGGGGAGCGCAGGTCAGTTCATCCCATGCTGTTACTACCACTCCTTTTCTTAAAGGAGGAGGAGTCTTTACACCCTTTTTCCCTTGCTCCAGTGGATGCCCTACTCACGAGGCAATCCACAGACTTCTCCAGAGGGAGTCCTACCGGCAGGATGCAGTCCTTCCCCATTGGATTGTTCCAGTGCGGGCTTTTACCACAGTCACAGATTCTTAGGGAGTTGTTGCCACTCGCTCCGGCGTGGGTCGTCCTACGGACTTCAGATGCGTCTCTGCCTTGTCGTGTGTCCCATTCTCCACGATCTCTCTCAGGCTTAGCATCTCTTCTCTAACGTGGGCTTCTCCATGGGCTGCGAGTGGGTCTCTGCTCCACCGAGTCTGTCCTGGCTGCAGGGGGGCCGCCTGCCGTCTCGCCACCGGTTGCAGGGGAAACTCAGCTCCAGCACACCTCCTCCCATTCCATCTTCACTGACCCAGTGTCTGTGTGACCGTTTCTCTCAGATCTTAGTCTTCTTTGGGTGAACTCGACCCAGCGGGCACCCCGGGAGCAGGGTGCTCCCTGAGTTCCCCAGGCAGCTCCGTCACCACCATCCTCAAGGGGTGGCACCGGCCTAGCGCAGGCAGCCCCCGGCCAGGAGCCAGGGAACGGGGGCAGTGCCCTCCTCCCTTCTCTCCTCACTCCTGGGCAAAGCACACCTTTTCTGGTTCCTTTGTCCCAACATAAATAGGGCAATTCGCAGAGGCACCGATTGGCTCAACCCCAGCCCGAAGGGGAAGGGAGTTCGATCTGGCGGCCAGAGCTGGGTCTGACCCAGCAAATCCCCTCTTCTGCCACCCTCTCCTGCTCCCTTTAAGGGAATAAATCCCCTCTCCTGCCACCAGAACCCCTTCACACGAACCCAGCACAAGTGATCAGGACTTGTTGCTGGTCTGTTTGGAGCTATCGGATCTCCGGTTTGTTGCCACCATCCATTGTGTCACAGCATGGCCAGCGTACTTGTGGCAGCACCCAGACACCAATAACATGATTGTTAGTTCAGGATTTCTAGCACAGCACTGTCACAGATAGTCATTAGGTTTCCAATCTTAGTGGTGAAGGTGTGAGAAAGAAATGCGTGTTTAACCACCCTGAATAGTTCCTTTTGGTGTGTTGTGACTTTTTTCCTGTACCTCCACCTAGCAGGTTCTTTCAGTACTGTTTTGCTCCTGTCTTCTCATATATAAGATTTGCTAGGAACTCAGCTAGTCTTTCTTGTGTCTCACACAGTTGGAGTGTATAAATTATACATGCTCATTTTTACGTGCTCATATATGCTTATCTCCCATAAGTGAAAGCCTCATCAATGTACTCCCTTTGGCAGTCATACAGTTTGGCTTTGTCACCCTGTTTGTGGCGTCGTTTCCCCTGGCTCCTCTTCTGGCTCTTATTAACAACATGTTGGAAATCCGGTTGGATGCGTGGAAGCTGACGACACAGTTCAGGCGCATGGTTCCACAGAAGGCACAAGACATCGGCGCCTGGCAGCCCATCATGCAAGGCATAGCCATTCTGGCAGTGGTCACCAATGTAAGTACTGGGACAACAACTGCAAAAGGTAAAATGCCTTCACTGCACGTTACATCCAGACGTGGGAATGCCATGTGTGGCAATGTAGCACTTACATGATCCTAAATGAATTATGAGCATCAGTCCCTTAAGACTTCAGCCCCTGTAAAACAGGGTCCCAGTTACTTTTCAGATGTTTTGGAAAGAGAATACGGCTACTGTCTAAAATATTATATCTAAAGAAAAGAAATTTTATTTAACCTTGATAGAGTCTTCAGGAAAACCTGTTACACACAAAGACTATAGCTCCTCTTTCCTAAGATTACAGCGCATAGTACAGAGATCTTTTTGGATTGTCTGCAGCTAAATGCATGAATTTTGAAAAAAAATAGGTTGCGGTTTAGCTGAGTTATAATTGACTGTTGTTTCTAATTGTCACAGTTCTTACGGTCAACGGCTTCATATCTGCATTTGGCTTTAAGCAATTTTACACTTAAAACAGAAATTCAGCTTCTTTCTTATGTACAGTATGTAATCAAAATTGCAGCACTTGCCTTTTGAGATCAGAATGAACTTTCCAAGAATTTGCAAATTAATCTGTTTTTCAGTTAGATTTAAGATTAATTTTAAAAGAGTTTCTTAAAAATATTTAGGGGGGAAAAAAATCTAATTGATATAATCCTAACAATGAAATTCAGACCTTTCAAGTTTCCCATATCATTAATTCACCAATATCTTATAAATATACTGCATTGTGGGGAGAAGAATAATCCATTGGACTTTACAGCTGTGAATTATTTGATTGCTTCTTCTTAACAGTAGCTAATCTGTATTATCTTTCCAAAAATTCCCACTGCTGACCTTTCTCAAAAAAGCAGTCACCGCTGATTTCCTCTGCAGGGACAGTAACAACACAATCAGTGGTTAACAGCCTTTTTCAACAAGATGATTACCATTTTCTACTGGTATTGGTGAGATCAGGAATTCCTTCTGACACACTTAAAAGTAGTCACTTCCTCCAGGACCTTGTCTTTGCAGTGACAGTACCTTATTGTGCTTAGTAGGAGTTTTGGAGGAAACAGTTGAGTTTGAAGAGGAGAGTCTGTCTTGGCCCAAGCTTTCACAGGAGGCTCTGCCTGTTTGGAGAATGCTGGACTTTAGGTAAGAGGAGGGAGACAGAGCTGTGCACTCTACCGTGGATACTAACCTGATAGTTAGGGGACTTATTTTGAGTAAAAGAGTAATCCAAATTTAAATAAGGACATGAACTTATTTTCCTGTATCTCAGGCACTTTCTATAGTCATTAAGTGCTTGGCTGTTCTGGGGTCTCAACCCCAGGGGTTCTTCTTTTCAGAAATAATAGGACAGGTACATGCACCTTCTCTTCCCAAACTCAGATGAATGTGTCTGCATATTCCTCTTTCTTTTTTCCCCCACTTTAAAAAGGCTTTGTTTTACCCTTGAAAGGAAGGAGCCCCTGTTTTTGAAGAACAGGAAGATGAGCTTCCATGAGTTGACTGCCTATTGGGTTATCATCTTCTCAGTAGCTTGTTTTCATTATTTTGAGACTTGGGGGCAGTACAATATAGAAATGGGAGTCCAGGGTGGATTTCAGTGATTAGGAAAATTATATATGTCAGCCTCAGCTATCAGGTGTGTTTTCAGATATCCAAAGGCCTCCCAAAATGGCCATTATTCTTGTTCAGAACTTTATTTTGCATAATAGAAATTCAACAGGAATGGTAAACATAGCTAGGATGTAGAGAGGAGACTCAGGAGAACATAAAGGCAGAGAGTTAAGCACAGAGAAATGAAAGAAGAAAAAAGGGAACTTGAGGATGGAAAATTTACAAGAGAATCTACGAGACAGACAACAAGCTCCAGTATGTGCTCCAGCTCTTCCACGCTGCTCTGCTGAGGCAAGCCAAACATAAATCCAGCTGTTCCTTAGGCATGTGAAACTTCCAAGGCCTGCTAGTAAATCTGGTGTTAAAATTTAAAACAAAAGCAATACAACTTTGTTAACAGGAATTCAGATTTTTAGAAATGTCAGGTGGCGCTAGAGACGCTTTTGGGGTTTTTGGGTTTAGTGCTTGTGCAAAAAATTGTTAATGATAACTCTCTGAGCAAATGACGCAAATCACAGCAGATAATGCAAATTCCCAGATGAAACAGAGCATAGCTTCACATAGCTAGAAGTAGAGTCAACATTATTGGTGCATCAATATCCTCTTTTGAACTGCGCTGCTAGAAAACTTCTAAAATAAAAGGAAAAAGGCTTCTGGTGCCCTGGAAACAAACATAACAAACATGTTATCATATTGGATAAACTGTCTTTCCTAGTCAATCCAGCTGGATCTTGTAATATCACTATGAAATAAAAAGTTGGATATGCATCGTAAGATTACTTTAAAATATGGTTACAAGTACCTTAGTCATAGTCCTTATGGTATTCAGGACAGAGTTAAAGTGGCTTTGGTGACCTTACAGTGGCTCAAACGTGTAGGCTTCTGTTAGGAATGTATTCGTGCCCTGCTTTCTGCATAAAAATGACCCAGCGATAGGTGTCCGTCGCTACCCAGTCACAGCCCACCTGAGGCTAATCTGAGCTTTATAACCTTTTCCACTCCAAATTCCTCCTTATGTGTTACACCCCTCAAGGCATCGCTGAAAACATGGAGTCCTTGATGTGCAGGAGTATATTTACAGCTTGGTTTTACTCTCTGTCCTCCTTGACAGGCTCTTAATCCCAATGCTCCTGTGACTGTTAACTGCAGGCGTGTTTCTTTTAAAATCACCCTGTTTGGAGTTCCCACATGTTAAATACAGTTAAAGTTCACACAAACATGGTGCATTTGCCGCTGACATCGGCGGGGCTGTTAGCACGCAAGGGGCACAGCACCAGAGACTGTCATGTTCAAAAGGCCCTGCTGCAGGTGTTGTAGGGACCTCGAAGAGATCAGTATTTCTTGCTAATGAAGCATGGACTACCAAGCCATGTACTAGAGCAAATGCTAGAAGCTGTTTTCTTTCTTTAAGTATATTTCTTTCTTGTTTGACTCCAGTATCTACTCTAGGCCATCAGTCTTTCCTATATCACCCCTGCCTTGATTTTTCTTAGTACACAGAAACTGTTTCTTCTCTGCTATGTGACTTGATACAGCTGATTTGTGTTGGGTAGTGTATTATCTTCTCCTTCGTGCATTACCTTTGTAACACCTGCTAGTAGCTTGCAAGCAAGTTTTGCACAAAACTATCAGTTTTGCGACTTGCTGCTCAGGCACTGGACTTGCTGTTGTATGATACCAAAGCATCTGTTGTTGATTTGAAGACTGATTTTAATTAGTTATGGTACAAATGGAAAACTGTGGGCAGTAAAGCTTGGGAAGTAGAGAATGTGCTATTTGTTTGTAGTTCTCCAGCGCAATACTCTGTGAATACTCTGAAATGCAGCCCATAATTCAGGAGGAAAAAAAGTTTTTCCTTTGAGAGGGTGCCGTAGGATTAGCTTTCATATTTCTGTCCTTGCAGCTCTCTGGAGCACATCTGGAGATCATTCTGAGGGAGGGAGGAGACTGGGACAGGGTTCAGATTTAGGATGATGAGAGACCTGGGGCCTTGCAAAAAAGTTCAGTAAGAGCAAATATTAAGTTGCATAAATACTGTATTCCAGCATCTTTCTAAATGATACACAGAAGCAGCATCAAACTTATTTGGTCCAAAGGAAGAAGGGACTTTTTTGCCTTGCCGTTCAGTGGCTATTAGTTCATTTATGGTCTGACTGGATGAGCTAAAAACCAGAAAGAAATTATATTTAACTAAAACTTTCTGTGCTTGTACTTCAGTTAAAAACACAGTAATTTAGGCGTGAGGTCTTGTCTCTGCAACTGCAAGACAATATATATTTCTTGTCAGCCAAAAACACCTACTCTGTGCATAAATACAAACAACACATAATTTTCACTTCATTGCACGCTGGCATGTAGTGCTTAAAAACAGTTTTTAAAAGTGGATGCCAACTGCATTTAATTTAAGCCAGAGTACAGTATAAAAAAAAAAATCTTTCTTGAAAATTTTAAATGAGTTTATTTTAGCCTTAGGATGCCTCTCTCTTCTTTCTCATCAGCCGAATTAACTTTCTCTCAACTGAACTCAATTGTAACAATATTCTCAAGAACCAAATATAGGTCTTGGTCCACGGTCTCAAAAGTATTGTTTCTGCAACTTTTGTCTTAACCAGAGTTTAGCTTCTCAGGTACTTCAAAGTCAGACAGATCACAAGGTAAGACATTAGAATAGCGTTCATCATTTGGCAGTGGTGCTACTTGAGGTGAGGTGAGTCTTGCACCCTTTTCAGTTCCTTGCCTTTCCCTTCCCTGTCTTTTCCCCTTGGTGCTGTCTCTCGTGTTGTGCTGGCACCAGCGCTTTGACAAACACACGATGATCCAGATCAGGGAATGGATCCAGCGGGAGTTCTCGTCAGATCAATGCCATGGTCTGACCTGCAGAGCTGCAGGAATGCCTGAGCCAGCACAGGACGCCAGTGAACTGCTAAGGGGCAGAGGCAGGAGGGACGGTGGTTGTTCTAGCTAGCACTGCCACCAAAGTGTTGTTTGAGGAACTGTACAAGAGGTATTTGCATTTTCTTTCACCCTCTCTCCTCTTCCCTTTTTCTACCACTGTTACAAATACCTCCTCAGGTTGGGGCTGTCTTGCTGGGAATGATGCAAAAAAGGGGACAATTTTTGCCTCGTCTCATGAAAATAAAGAAATATGAACTGCATGAATCACAGGCTGGCATGAAGGGGTATAAAATACAGATATTAACTAGCTCTTAAGCTCCTCTGATATCTACTACTGCTTCCTAAATTTGCCTGCCCTCCATTCCACACCTTTTCTACAGCTTTTTTCTGCCCCTTTTATGTACCTCTGCTACACCTCCCGCCCTCTGATCCCGTTAGATCTCTACTTCACACCTTTCTCCTCCATGTCTCTGCCCTGGTTCCTTCTATCTGTGTTGTCAAGGGTTTTTTTCCCCTCTGGGCGCCAGAGATGCCTGTCCTCAGGAGCTGGCCAGGCAGCCTCTTGCTAGGCACTCAGCTGCAGATCTTGCCAGTGGAAAGTCTTCCTCACAGGGAAAGCTTTTGAATTTGCAATAGCAGAGGAGGAGATTGGATTAAACATAGTTAACCTGTCCTCCAGAGTAGGATGTTTTGGGAAGTTCATGAGTTTAGAAAAGGCTTCCCACAACAAACCCACAGATCGAATTTCCTACCCAGTTTGTGACTAGCAGTCTTGGGACAGGGACTCTCTTGGGAGCATGATAAAAACAAATGGTCACGTCATATGTAAAACAGCACTATGCAGCTGCTACTAAAAAAATTATCTTGGCATCAAGAGCAGTTTCCACATGTACTGACATTGAAACTTATGAAACAACAACTGCCAAGATGAATTTGGGCTGGCTAGCACCTCAGAAAGAGTGGGATGTTTCTAGGGTCGGAGATGGATCAGCTATATTTATAATTTATTTCATTCTTTCACTCAAACCTCAGACTTCCTGGTGAAATTTAATTTTCTATTATTGAAGGACTCTTCCGTTGTTTCCATGGGTTTCATCAGGCAGGATCTCTTTAAGCATCTCATAAGCACACCTCATAGCAAGCACATTTGCTGAAGGTTACCTTAGAGTACTTTAAGGTGAGTTTGCCTGCTGACCTCCACAGCATGCTCATGAGGAAAAAAGTGTATTATAGTATAACTTTTTCAAGGTATCCAGCAGAGCTAGCATCATTTAAAAACCGTACAGAGTGCACGTTCCAGAAAGAGATTGTTTTATGTCCATGAGTGACTACATGCTCATTTACAGTGGGAACCACTGACTGGAAAAGCACATATGTTCTATTTTTAGCTCATACTGTAACTTTTGAGGTAATAAGTATATGGCAAAGCCATACATTTTAAGGCTTATTTCTTAAACACTTCTCTGCTTTTTTGTCTTCTCTTCCTGAAATGCAGGCTATGATAATTGCATTTACATCTGACATGGTTCCTCGTCTGGTTTATTACTGGTCCTTTTCAGTCCCTCCTTATGGGAGTCACAGTAGTCACACTATGAAAGGGTATATAAACAGTACGCTTTCTGTCTTCAACATATCAGACTTCAAGAATGCAAGCAAGCCATTTTCTCCTTGGTTTGGGAATCAAACGACATGCAGGCAAGTGTCAAATAACCATTCTTTTCCAATGAGAAGAATAAATACATACTTTTGATATCTAAGTCATCTAATTCAGTTAACAATATCCAGTAAGAAATGTTAAAACACAGTAAAAGCCAGCATATTTTGAATGGCAGAACTGAGTGGAAGTATTCACCGTAATTTTGTGCTACTCAGAAAAATCTTATTTTATTTGTTTGTCTCATAATTTATAGACTTCATTAAAAAAAAGCACTTTAAATTTTTATAAGTAATTCTTAATACAGTGGCAAAAGAAAAAAAAGGACATTTCAGCAAAATATAGCTTGTTCTGCAGATACAAAGTTCACCTATTACTGTAGTTACATGCAGCTAACTGTTCCTGGATGCGTTAAGCAGGGACACGTCTTGCTCCATCCTCTGGCCACAGTGCCTTACTGCAGAGATGCCTGAGAAGCTCCTGACTTTCCTATATTGCTTTCAGATACCGGGATCTCCGCTATCCTCCTGGTCACCAGCACCAATACGAGCATAACATATACTACTGGCATGTCATTGCAGCCAAGCTGGCTTTCATCATTGTCATGGAGGTAAGTGTGCAGGGTTTTGAGCTTTACTTATTTAAACTTCTCTTCCTTCCATTTAAAAATTCCTTCAAATACATTCCATCCAGGCACAGCTATCAGAGCTGGCGATGTTTGTTAGCACAGGCAAGAGGCTGGGAGATGTAAATAAAGTGTAGCACCATTAGAAAAAGAAGTCTTAACATCAGTAAAAGGTTGCCCCACCTGTTTGCAGTTTCTTTTCCCAAGAACTGTAAAATGATTTTTAGTATCAGTAATAGAAAGGACAGTTACACCAAAAATACTTTCACATCTACTTAGAGGAAGTTTGTGCACAGCCTCATGAATGCATATGCACTAGCAGAGTGAAGTGTACAAAGACAGTCACTGCAAGAGGTGAGTCTCCAGGTGAGCATCAAAAAGCAATCACTCCTTCCTCCGCAGCTACAGTCTGGGCTTACGAAAGATGGGAGTCGGCCTAAGATGAACAGAGAGGAATATTAGGTATTATTTCATTATAAAATGTACTTAGGGCCTGATCCAAGGACTACTGAAGTCATCAGAAACATGCAGCTGGTTAGATCAGAGTTCCCGTAGCAGAGAAAAGTTCATTGCTCCAGAGTAATTTGAACAAACCTAAAACAATTTTAAAAGAAACTGTAACAAATATTTCCATGCAGGGGGGAAGCACTGGTACCAGGGTTCACCCAAAGTAGGCAGAGAAGTCCTTGTTAAAATGAGAATTAGAAAATCTGAAATTCTTGTTTATCAGACAATTATTCTATTCATTAGTCATGTCTGCCTTTTAAAATACTGTTCCACTGTGATAGATACTGGTACAGAACCAGCTCAGAGTCTTAAGAGATAATGTGACGTCTCATTTATAATAATAATAATGTCCTGTTCAGCCTGACTGATATTTTTTTCATTTTCACCTTCCCCAGCATGTCATATACTTTGTGAAGTTTATTATTTCATACGTCATTCCAGATGTATCACAAAAGACCAAGAGCAAGGTCAAACGAGAGAAGTACCTAACACAGAAACTCTTGCATGAGAACGATCTCAAAGTTGTGAAAAAAACCATGGGGAAAATAGCTGACAAAATTATCGAAGGAGTAGGCGGCACCTTCCGACCTAAAGCTGAATAAGTACTTTTTTTATGAGGAATAACAGTATTTAGCCAGCTAATACTTGTCCAGATATTACCAACAGCTAATAAAACACTTTGCATTCATTCTCTTTACTAAACTTTGCTTCTTGCAACTGTTACCTGCTCGTTTACCTGTTTCACTTGGACAAATGCAACCACTGTGACTCAGATAAGATCTATCAATTTTTTAAACAGTTTTAGTAGGACCATCTTAAGACGATGCAGATTAATTCTCAAATACATAGAGTGCTTTCCACTTATTTTGGGATCAGCTATTAGATCTCTTGTTTGACTTGAATAAAACCTACAAGAATGATTTGTTGTAAGAATACCATCATGTCTTCTGAAGGAGTTTTGATTACTTGCTAATGCAAACCCTAACTATAAAATGAAGAAGAAAAGCCAAAACGTGAACAAAAGAGGGGAAAAATGCAATTCAAACCCATGTTGCTAAGCCATTGGAATTGACATTCTAAGCACTGTCATGTGCTACACTGAATTAGCTATCCATACTGAGACTTAAATGGATAACAAGATATTTCAATTAATCATGGACTTGGATCACAAGAAGCGGCAGGACTGTAGTCCCATCCTGTTCATCAATCTCTGTGTAAAAAGGAGAATTGCCTTTGAAATCAATGCACATGAACTGACTTTACAGCACGCCAAGTGAGTAGAAAACTCAGGCATTTTATCTTTCCCCAGTCAGCGTACTTGCATTAGTTCACTTGCCCATTCTGCTTTAAATCACCACGGCCTTGAAGGTCTCCTACCTGTAACAATAATGAGTGTTAAAAGTCTTTTCACGTACTAAATCAATATTTGTGGAGGGCTGTCTTTTGCATTTCTCACACGCCAGAGGCATCGTGCTCTTCCCTGATAGATTTTGACATAGGAAGAATGTGCAGCTGGACCTGTTGTGATACAACATCGTGTGATAAAGTGAATTCTGACAAGACCATGAATCTATTGAAATTGGAGAATGGAATAAACTATTTAATATGCCTTAACCATGTTATGAAGCTTTAAATAACTAGGAAGGGTGTTAGAGATGTGGATGCATGTGCTAGAGCCATCAGTCATCTTCAAATTAGTCTGCAGATCTGCTTGGCTATGTCAGATCCAGTGGCAAACTGGGAGTTAGGGAATTACAGATTAAGCATGTATGTAGAGCTCTGCTCTGTGTCTGCGGCAGTGATATTCCAGATTATTAACTTGCTTTCTCTTTTAACAGTTGTAGTGGACCAATTTCTACAAGATCTGAAAACCAAACTCTTATTAAAAAAGCAAAAGTATGCCTGTGCTTTGTAAACTAGGTGATTATTGTTGTGTTTCTAATTTTGTACTCCTCTTAAATGTAATAGATATGCAGAATTTTAGGCAGATTATTCATATAGCTTTTTACATATTAAGAAGCTCATTTGCAGAAACTAAGTAACATTTATAAGATGTATTTTATCCCATTAATAATCAGAAGGAATCAAACATCTGACTTTTGTAACAAAACTTCCAAATACTGACTGCTGTGTACTTCAAGCCTGTCCTTTGAAACAGCAACATTTAAACCAGAAGAGGTAGCTCCTGAAGGGAGTCCTTTCAGCAGTCATGATACACAAGCTTTCACTCAGCAAGATCTTGCATGATTGCATGGAAGAACATGAGAGGAAAGCTTGGTTCAAAAATCAAGGAAAGATGAAAGAAAGGAACTCACAGGTTCCAGAGAACCACTTGCATTTCTGACAGTGAAGGACTGAAGCTTACTTGTTATAATGCCCAGAAAACTTCATGTAGACACCACCTGAGGACAAAAAAAAAGATGCAAGACAGAAAAACAAGATAGACCATAATGATAAATGACACTCAACCAGAGCAGTGATTGAACCAGTGCTTCTTTGCACAGGGAATTCTACTCTTTGCCATTTGTTTTGATTTCATCAGAATCATGACAAGTCTTTAATGGACCAGGAAGCAAATATAAATTGGGCAGATGGACAAACAGAAATTTCGAAACAAGACAGAATTTCATATCAAAATATATACCCTCAATACTGGTTTGACCTTTTCTCCAGATCACAGGATGGTTGAGGTTGAAAAGGACCTCTGGAAGTCATCTGGTCCAACCCCCTGCTCAAGCAGGGTCACCTAGAACAGGCTGCCCAAGACTATGTCCAGATGGCTTTTGAGTAGCTCCAAGGGTGGAGACTCCACAGCCTTCCTGGGCAACCTGTGCCAGTGCACAGTCACCCTCACAGTGAAAAAGTGTTTCTTGACGTTGAGAGGTAACCTCCTGTGTTTCAGTTTGTGCCCAGTACCTCTGATCCTGTCACTGCATAGCATACCACACTTCTATTTAAAACAAATTTTTGTCAAAAAAAAACGTTTTATGGAACAGTTTTAGTGAAGTAGTAAGGAACTCCCCGTGCAAAATGAGTTTGGTTAGAAAGGCCAGTCAGCTCCTTGGGGACTTGGAGCTTTTCATTTCAGCTTTGAACTGGCTCTTCCCCCTGTGCAGTTGTGTTCAGCTGAGATGCCATTTTCATACCCCATCAGTGACGATGGGCTGGGAAAGGCGAGGAAGCATCCTGTGACAAAGGGAAAAAAAAAAAAAGCAGCACAAAATGGACCATTTCAGGTAATCATTTGGTCTTAAAGAAGCATTTATTGCCCTCTTTGAGAGGTAAAGAGATTAGGCAACAAAGGAATTAAGTGCCTTGCCTGGGGTGTCACTGTGAGCAG